AACTTATGCTTTTATACTTACTATGTGGGTTGAATTCTGATAATTATTTATATAACAATAAAGATGATAAGCTTTTTCACCGCAAAATTCGCCACTACCCCATTATTTTTCGGAGAAAGTGCACAAAGTGCATTAGCAGGGTAATGATTAAACTAGATTCGTGTACATTTACTGTGCTCATGTCAGGTGATACCGTTCTGACCCAAATTTCAGTTGTAAAAAAAATATTGCTATATATATATATGTGCATTGCAGATTGCTATGTAATGGCTATGAGTAGCATGTGAGCACGAATCATTTATTATTAATATACACTAATCAACTACTTAAATAATATATCTCGTTCTCAACACCAGAGTTTCTACGGTAAAATTTTATTGGCTTGATACTCTTGGTATGTATAATAAATCAGCAAAATTGTCTAAAATTTCATTATTTCAATAATAATCTAAACTGTGCGGTAGTTGGCATTCTCCAGATAAATTTAATAAATTTACTTTCGATCTGTTCAGGTGGTGATCAATTTTTCATAATCATTTACAATTTCACTAACATATTGCTACAAATACAAAGTATGGTGGAATTTGTAAATAAACTTTTATATAAAAACTGATAAAAAATAAACTTGTTTTACCTCCATTATTATAAAATGGAAAAATGTCAATACGATCAATGGAAATGATCCTTTATCAATTGCTAATTTGTTTTTGAGACACGGTCACGATCTATATACACCATCATATACTAAATCAATTGCAAACGATTCTATGGTATCCCCTACATCGAGTGAATTTTGTAAATAAGATATTGCGAAATAACAAATATATAAGTATATCAGATATATACCCATATTTAAGAAAGCTATAGACTTGTTAGGTCCTCCTTTTTCTAATAACTTGTTAATCGATTCCCTCCCTTTAAGATGTACTTTTACGAAGTCTTGAACTTTCCTAAACTGAGTGTACCCCATAGGCTTGATCTCGGAATTTAATATAGCAATGTCATCAACTACACAGCTAAAATCTGGTCTTTGTTTTCCACTTACACTTTTATTTAATTCCAGGCTGTAAGACGTGTATTCACCACCAAAAATAACTTTTATAAATGGATCTATGTAATAGATACAGTGTTTATTTTCGGTTTCTTTTTATTTCGATGTTAAAGGAAGCTCATCTTTACTGAAGAAAAAAAATAAGGTTACTCTAATAAATCTTCCATTAGTTTTTCAATTATTTCCTGTAATATAACGGCTTATATGTAATTAAATATACGATAAGCATTTTCCCCCAATTCACCATCATCATTATTTAAATTAAAGTTATAGTTTAGGTCAAGTGAAAAGTTATTTGTCACTTTATATAAAGTGGTTAAGAGTGAATCTGTTAAAATGGGTTGCGCGATTTTATATGGATTCGAATTAAGGACTTGTCGCTATTCAAAACTTGTAAATGTAGAGTAGGGACAAGGCCAGCACATTATAATTATTGATGACAGGGCCCTAAAATATAATAGGATAAATAAATTCAATATGTCTTCACAAGTAAATGTAACTATAAATATCTCTACTGTACTTACAACAGCTCGAATGTATTGCTCCACATCAATTTTACTTTTTTCTGTCTAACACTTGATATTAGTTGTCTTTGATACTCTTTAAATTTTCTTGACACATTAACTGTGCCTATATTCCACTAAAATATAAAAATAACGTTACTTATATAAATAAACAGAAATTGAAAGTCCAATTACTACTGTATACCTCGCTTAATGAACTGATCGTTATTTGCTGTTCTAATTCTTCTAGTTCATCATGTTTAAATTCTAACAATTCATTGGAATCATCATTCTCCTTATTTTCCTAATGACATTTCAATTAACAGAAGCAAAATAATTTATTAAGATCATTCGATATACACATCCTTGATGAAGATACTTACACTTAATCCACCCACTTTGTTACTTGAACATTTTCCAGGTGTCTTATCATCGGGACTATTAACATTTGTTATATTCCGCTAGATCATAACGCATACGATATGTCAGTCATACCTGTATAACAATTAATGACAACAGTCAAACTTACTTTTTTTGTGTTAGCTTCTTCATAATTCACATCTCGACAACGTTTTCCTGAAGTTATGCGATTGTCATTATATATCGCGCCACTGCCAGTTGCAAGTTGATTTATCTGCTTTACTTGTAGATACTCGATCTTGGCGCGTTCACAATCTTGTTTCAAATTTTTTACGGGTGCGGTCCATTTCTTGATGAAACAAAATTCAAGGATTAGAAAAATAAAACATTACTCAATAACAAAAATAACAATATAGAACAAAAGAAACGTCAGATTAAAAGTCCTCCTTGTAAGACACGTAGTCCCAGCTTGCATTTAGTGTCGAACACGTAATTCATAACTGGAGACGCGCAGTTCCAGCTTGCACTAAGCGTCGAACACTGTTAGCTTATTTCTTTCTCTTATTTTTATTTCATTATTCTTTATATGTATTATCATCTATATATTATATATATTCT